GTGATTGGGAGCTCAAGTTTCATTTTGTACCGCGAGAGGCTAATACAACATCCAACTGCCTGGCAAAAATTGCATAGAATCACCCGGGTGAAACGCTTGTTTTCCATACTCCCCCGACTGTAGTGACAACCATTCTTCACGTTGAAGCATGCATGGATTCTAGTTAAATTGTTTTTCTACGCTTTTTAGGTCCTCTCTCTTTACATTAAAAAATCAAATGATTTATAGGAGTATAATTAAATATATTGACATACAATTAAAAATTATTTTTGAACAATATTTTGAATAAAAAATTATATTTACATATAGAATAATTAAATATGAATTTAACAGTTATAGTATAAATAAAATATAAATTATAAATAAACTAAACCACATGTTTAACTTCTCAACTTTTATGTTAAAAAAACTATTCAACTTTTAGAATATTTTTGTTTTAGTCACTTAATTATAAATTTTTTATAGTTTATTAACTTTCAATATATGTTCGTTTAGATTACTCAAGCGTTAGCTTTCGAAACTTTTTTTAAAAATTAATCTAAAATTTTAATCTTATTATTCTCCATGATCCTTCTCCACTATCACTTGACTATCATTGCTGCCATTTTTTCAATATTTGACCATCATCCTTCTTCACTATCACTTAACTATCATTGATCGTCGTTTGCGACATAATCGATTTTAAATTAATCTCTTTGCTTCCCTTTTTTCAATTTAATTTCTTAAAATTCCCTTAAGATTGAATGAATTTGATTTTATTTTCGTTTAATATGCAATAGTCACAATCTAATCAATGTATAATTATTATTTATTGCTTTTATTATCCTTCTTGATCTCTTCTTTATTTGAAATTTAAAGAAAATAATATGATAACTGTGAATCAAAGAGATATAAAAATCTAGACTTGAAAAAAAGTTATATTTTTTTTTTGGGATAAATTTAATAAAAAATTGTATGACATTAAAATATTAACAGTTGACTGAACTAACAATAAAAATTCAAAACTTTAATAATAGAATAAAAAATATAGTTGAGTCACCAAACAGAAACATGAATCAATCTTAAATGATTCATTAAATAAATGTAAACCATCTACAAACAAATTATATTCAATGGACTTTGTAAAAGAAATCATTGTTCTTTCTGGATGATACAAATTTAAACCGTCGTATTTATAAAGTACATGTACGATGTTAATAAATTAATAAAATTTCTAAACATAAACTACCTTATAATTACTTCATGCTATTAAAAAATTAATTTAATATCTCTATATGTTTGTTTCATTTATATATTTTATCAGTTTAATTCTAATATATTTGTTATCTTGTGAAATAATAAAAGCAGCCAACAAATCGTACCATAACCGATACGAGCATAAACATAATTTCTTTGATGGAAAGTGGAACCATAAAACAGACCGATTTACACATCCGGCTGTAAGAATCATGTGCTGTCCTGTTTTGAACCACAGCCAACCGAAGTGATCCATTTCCATCAATACACAAAAAAAAAAACTGATTTGTTTTATACCTCAAAACGAAAGATTCCATTGCAAAAATCGAACCTCCATTTTTTATGCACGTTTCCATCCTTACCTATAACAGGGATGATTTGTCCTTTCCCCATGTGCTCACCTTGTCACATGTTTTCTTGTCCAATTCTATAAAAATCAAGCAGCTTGCCGTTATTTTTTTTAACAGATAGTGATGTGGCAGTTAAAAATTTTGGTGTAATTACTTATTTGGTCCTCAATATTTATACATTCTATTAATTTCGTCATAATTTCATTTTATTTTAATATATTTAATCTCTCAATTAGCTAGTGACATGTGTCAATACGTGTTTGGAGGCTTTTTTTTTAAATTTATTTATTTTATACTCAATCAGATAATGACACGTGTCACACCTTGAACTGATAGAAAGTAAGTTGAAGAAGAGAAAAGGATATCAAAGAGTAAAACGCACTTGGGGAAATTGAACCCAGGTTAAAGGAAGCCCTTCAAGCACCTAACCTTAGATGACTGGATCAAACACTTCTCTTGGAAATAATTTGGAAACATTTTTCACTAAATCTATTGTAATTAAGGGAAGAAAAAAATGAACTAAAATGCTTAGGAGGGGTTTTACTCTTTACTATCCTTTTCTACTTTTCAATTTATTTTCTACCCACTCAAGTTGTGGCATGTGTCACCATCTAATTAGATATAAAATAAATTAATTAATTAAAAAATAAACCCCAATCACGTGCTGACACATGCTTAGGGACAGGGCCATATTTTAGTTCAAGGGGTAAAGTATAATTAACAATAGAAAATGAGGGGTAAAATAAAATAAATTAAAATCTAAAGGCCTAAATAGGTAATTTCCCCATTATTCATTAATGATAAAAAATTGAGGGGGAAAATCAAAATAAATTAAAATTTAAAGGCCTAAATAGATAATTGTCTTGTTATTCTTTAATGATAAAAAAATTGGTGGGGAGTAATGGCCCCCAAAGAACCTATGTACCTCTATCCCTGCACATGTCATTATCTAATTGAGAGATTAAATATATTAAATTGAATTAAAAGTATGAGTAAGTTAATAAAATATATAAATATTAAGGACCAAATAAGTAATTATACCAAGTTTTTTATGCCACATCATCCCCTCGTTAAAAGTTAACGACTAGTGGTTTGATTGAAGAATTTAAATTGTTAGATGGTTTGATTGATTAAATCAAAATATCGGTGGTCAAAATGAAAATAGACAATAGCTTAGTGGTCACTCATGTAGTGTATCCTAAAATTTAACAGAGAATTTAACGTCTCAGTTAACATTTTTGTATAATTATACGTTCGATCTTTGTTAATTACATAAAACGTCAAATTGATCTAAATTTTAATTATATTCAATAAATTTAATCATTCAGTTAAACTACGACAAGTGTCCGTCTCTAATTGAACAATTAAATTTATTTATAATTTATTTAATTCATGAAATTTATTTTTCTCCAATCAGAATGGACACCTTCCTATTGAAAGAAGACATGTGAACAAAAGTTAGCATTCAAATTGGCAAGGGTATTGAATGATTTTTTGAATTTAATTTAAATTTATAACATTTTGTATATCTTAACTTAAATTTAATTGGCAAGGGTATTGGCAAGTGTCCGTCTCTGGTTTGAGTCGCATCACTGACAACACCTTTCATTCGTTTTCTTGAAATAAGAGGATGACACCTAGGAAAATAAATTTAATAAATATAAACAAATTTAATTATCTAAAGGAAAATAAATTTAATAAATATAAAAAAAATTAATTATCTAATTATAGATAGATACATGTTACAATTTAATTAAATGGTTAAATTTATTAAATTTAATAAAAATAAAGATCAAATTGTCATTTTATGTAAGTAATATAAATCAAATATATAATTATACTAAAATTTTTAATTGACATATCATCATTTTCGTTAAATTTTAACTATAAACAACTTTATTGAATTGTTTAAATAATTAGATGATTTAATTAATTAAATCGAAACACGAATAATCAATATAATTTGAGACAATAATTGATTAGTTACCCTTAATTCAATAAGCCGCCAGTGATAAACGTATATCTCCTAGGACAACGAGTAAAAAAAAGGGATAGTCTAAATGTATCAAGTGTTTTACTAAACATACCAATTCTTTTAATAAAATAATAAAAAAGGAATGCTTTGTCACCATTTGGACAACGACTCACCTTTTTCTATGTTTCACGTGCACTGAACTCAACGTACCCAACCGCCTCCCATTCATTCCAACCGGATCTTGCATAATATATATTTTCATAAATTAAATATTATAAAACATTATTACAGATAATTTTTAGCTCTATTTTTTATTCATTATATCGGATTTCAATCTTTAATTCCAATTAAAGAAATCAATATTATTTATAACATTGATAATTTAAATTAGGATAAGTCTACAACGTATGTTGTATACCACTATATATTATTAAAGCGACATATTAAAATATATATTATTAACTAAAATGTTCTTATTAAGTAAATAATAAATTATACGTGTAGTATTTACGCTATTATTTAATTATACATACATGTATAAAAAAACAAATATTAAAACATTCATTGATAAATATCAAATTATTTTAAAAGTTTCGATGTTTGAATAGTTTTATATTTATATTGTAAATTATTTACGTAATTGCCCACGACTCCCTTGGTAGGTCGTAAGCATACTTCTTTGTCGGCTACGATTTGTCGAACGGTTGATATCAGCGGTAGGGATGGACATGGGTCGGATAGGGTGGTCCAACCAAACCTGAACTTTGTCCTTAAAAAAATCTGACACGATCCGAACCCAATTTTTTTTTAAAAAAGCCCGACCCGATAGTTTGAATTAAATTTGTCCAAATATGATTTGAATCAAACATCAATCTAGTTTTAATCTGGTAATTAAATTAAATCAATGAATATTTGTTTATTATTATTATATTTTTTAGTAAAATGATAGTGAAATGACAGTAACATGATAAACAAAGTCAGCAACAAAACGCCACGTGTAGTCTAGTAGGGCCTGGGAAAATAAAACTGAAAAAGGGTTAGTCCACTAATTGTTGTTTTCAACATGACTAAATTTTTTATTATTTTTTCGGTAGGTTTAGTAGTACCCGTAAAAAAAATGCAACCTAGATCCATCAAACTCTGTGCAACTCATCGAAACGTGAAGCTTTGTATAGCTTACAACGTGGCATGTAGCAGAGGACCACAAGATCCACGTGTCACCAACATGGCTTACCAAGATCCCGAAGTAATGGTTCGAGGTTTAGAGGGTGGAATAAGTTCATTACACGTGGAGCAATGAGGATGAAGTTTTAGATGGAGGATTCTGAGCCACTAATCAATTGCAGCTTAATTCTCAACCACAAAATTATTTCCTCTGCCTTCTTTTCTAAAGGCAGAAGTGTAAGCAACACAAAATCTTCCAAGTTCTTCCTGTGAACCTACGTTTCTCTTTCATTAACAGCCTGTGTTTTTTTTGCTGAGAAAACAAATACCACGGCCGCCTTTGGTTTTACCGGCGAAGTTTGATGCTTTTTAGAGCATACAGCTTCTAAATCCATCTACAACCCATTCAAGTTTTCAATCATTTCCTTGATTCCATCTGTTTTTGTCAATCAAGAACTGGGTTGTCTCTAGTTTCTCAGCTAATTCACAACTTTATTTCCAGCCATTTCTATACGTTTTCTCCTTCTAGCTTGATTTTAGTGCTGAATCAAGGACTGGGTTCTCTTCATTTCTCAGCTAATTCACTACAAGGTTTGTCTTTATCAAATTTCTTAATTTTCTTCTTCCATTCACTTGGTTGTTCTGTTTCTAGCTTTCTACATGTATATTCGAGGACAAATTTATAAAATTTTAGAAACGAACTTATAAAAAAAATTAGGGTTTAAAACAAATATGGATAAAAATACAAAGAAAATAGTTAAATTATACAAGAATCTGAAATTTTCAAAAGGTGATCCCGTGCCAGTCCTCTTCTGTCCATTCCCGTGTGTTTGTTGGAAAATATGTGCAATTTTCAGTAATAAGTATATATTACAGGTAAGGACTTCAATTCAATTTTCAGTAATAAGTAGTATGTATTACAGATAAGGACTTAAATTCATATTTCTGAAAGTTTGGTTTAACTTGTGTGGTTTTCTATGATTTAATTTTGATTCTTTCAGTGGATCGCATGGATTGGTATCACTGTAATGGAATGGAGGATCTTGTTGTCCCCACACATCAAGAAGTAGACGATAATCTCCCTTCACCCGGGAGCTGGTCAAAATGGGATTTTAACTCTCCTGGAAATTTTAACGATGAATGCTTTGCTGTGGCCGAGAATCTAACTTGTGTTAAATCGAAATCCAATGGCAGATTATGCCACGGCTCTGAATTCGAATCCACAGCCGATGTTAACGATCCATCCACATGTTGGAGTATATATGGTGGACTGTCATCGAATCAGGGTCGAGTTTCGCAGCATCAAACCTATCACCAGCTCGACGATTTCGGCAGATTCGAGCAGCTCGATGACATATTCTTGTACTAGCTTAACCTCTGGAATTACGATATCATATAGTTATGAATAACAGCATGGTCGGACATCCCATGAAAATTGAAGGGTTCCAAAGGTTTGGTCATATAATCCTGTTAAAAACTATTTGTTCATCATTGAAATTAGTAGCCACCACCATCACAAAATGGTTCTAACAAAAAGAATCCGATTATAATGAAGATAATCGCATGTCTCACGTAGGTGGTTTTATGCCATGTTAAAAGTGCTTCTTTTAATAACATAGTTTAGCCGTTCAATATTCCATGGGATGTTCAAATTTACTCTCTGTTTCAACGTTTTACCTTTGAGGTCATATGTTAGGAGTACTTTCTTGTTTTCTGGTCATAATTCTTCGGGTTTCTCCATTATTGCAGGGCTTCCTTACTGGAGGATCCGACCTGGGGCGAAGATCTTCACAAGTCGTTTTGCTTCTCTCCTGGATTCAAGTGCGAGACGATGGCAGCCGACTATCTTCTGCCAGATGTAAGTTTGTATTTTCGAAGTATTTCAAACAATGAACATTCATATCATTTCCAGTTTGAGCTCAAGAAAAGATAGACAGTGAAGGTGAAACAAAACTATTTAGAATACTAGCCTTCTGTATGTTATTAATGAATCTATATCGCCGATGTTTATTCTATTTTCGATATTGAATGTATGTCTTTACTGGTAGCATTTTTTACAACTGGACAACTACTTTTGCTAATTTTTTTGTTAAGTTAGTGTACATGAAGATCTAAGCTGAATGCCTTGCATTTAATCTGGTCTTGCATCAGAAAACAGTATCTGTGCTTGAGGGAACATGATTAAAGATTGAAAAGTTCGAAACTAACTAAAACCGATACTAGAAAATGACAAGTGTTTTATTTGTAACTAAAGCCACATATTTCTAATTGGGTAGCCCTAGCATTTTACTTGACATATGAGACGATTTACTAGTTTTTCCTCTAAACCACCCTAGGCCACGTCAAAAGATTGTTGCAGTATGGATTAGATCTTGTTGGAATTACTTTTGTGAAATAAACTCCCTCGTGTAATCAGACCTTCGAAGAATCTTTTGAAATACCCTAGGAATTTGGCTAAACATACATTGCATCATCCTATGCTTATTATATTTGTGAAAATTTAGTATAGTTCCCAAGTTTATAAGATTAACTAATGGATGTAACTTTTGCACAAGGCATCTCCTGCCAAAATATTGGTCCCTCCTGAACAGATAACTGCAAATGGATTTGTATCAGAAGGAATGTCGCTTGAAGAATCGGTTTTGAAGGAGCTTGAAATGGTGACGACACAGGTGAACAACAAACCAAAATTCCTAGTTATTCATCAATTATTTTTATAAGAACAAGTGAACGAGTGCTTATACAAATTCCATATTTTGATCTGTTCAGTTGTCTGATAAGACTCGAATTTGCTTCCGAGATGCCTTCTATCGTCTTGCCAAGAACTCGAAACAGAATCCTGTAGCACTAGACCAACAAGGAAGCCTCCATGCTCAAACTCATCCTCTGAAATGGACAATATCGGAGGAGAAAATAAGGTTCAACTTTTAGCCTTCTACTACAATTTGCAGAGTATCTTTCCAACATCGATTCATTTTCGAGTTGCTTGAATATATGGTAGATTGGTAGTCTAGTTTGTGTTTCGACAATTTAAGCATCTTCTTGATTAGAAAATAATTTTGATGTTTTTCAGGTCTGGGAAAAACGAAAAGACTGAATCGGAGACCAATACCATTGATCGAACCATCGCGAGCCTCACCTTTGACAAGATGGATATCAACATTCGGGACTTTCCGGTTTGCCAACCCCAACAATTCTAAAGCAAAAACGTCACCAGTGAGTCCAAGTCGCTAAGTTCCTCACGGTTCACATGCTGGCACCCAATGATGCGGAAGTTGAATTCCTTTAGGGAATTATTTTATGTTTTTTGAAGTTAAATTCTTTTAGGTGTGTTTGAAGTTTTGAATGTAAATTATGGTTTTGGTCAGTTCGGTTTTGATGAGCATTTTTAGAGATTACTTCAAAATTCCTAGTGGTAAGTTCATCTGGAATGGTGTTCTTTTTTATGCAAAAGTAGTTTGCCTTGCTATATGTTACTGGATTCACAGTGAATGTCTGATAGGAGAATATGGATATACATTTAATTAGGGTATACTTCGATGTGGCAAACGGGTCATTTGGATTTGTTATATAATAAGTCGAGCCGGGTCAAGTCAAAATTAGATTGGTTGATTTTCGGATCGAGTCAATATTAGATTGATTGATTTCAGGTTGGATCATGTCAATATCAAATTGATTAGTTTTGGTTCGAGTCGATCTTTATACTTTAAAATCAATTCGGGTTAAGTTCAATTAAATACATATAAAATTATTGACATGTTCTTATAAAAATAAATGTATTTTTGTTTGTCAATCTTCTAATTTAAGTTAAACTTTCAAACATTTCATATTTTAAATTATACTATCATTTATTGATTACAATATGATCCGAACTTATAAAATATATTACGTTTTGAGACTTGAATTTTGTATTGATCTAATGTGAAAAGTTGATGGTACAACCTATTTGGTGTAAAATTAAATTTTAAATTTTATTCTTGATAAATTTTTTAATTAGATATTTGATGTTGAATTATAAATATAGTATTTATTAAAATTTAAAAAATAATATAATAATTAATATCTGAATGAATATTGTTATAATAAATTTATAAATCATATAACACCCATGATAGAATTTGATGATAGAGTTTAGTGGAGTTAACTTAAAATTTTAAAAATTTAAAGATTTAAATTAAAATTTCTCAAATTTGAAGGGTTCATTTTTCCTTTTTTTAAAGTTTAATGAGAAATTTTAAAAGTTATGGGATGAATTTAATTAAGAATATTTAAAAATTTTAAAGTTTAATTGGAATTAAAAAAAATTATGGGGCCAAGTTAAGTTTTCTTGAAAATCTTAAAGATTTAAATCATAATTTTTCAAATGTTTTTGGAGAGTTAAATTATTTTTTTTTTTGAAAATTTTAGAGGTATAATCATAATTTTTCTAAATTTTGGTAGGTCACGGTCCCACATGCCCCTACTACATTATGCCATTGTATAACACTTCTGACAATATTTTAATTTTAAATTATAAAATATAAATATTTGTATATTATAAAAACAAGTTGCTTATTAATTTTTTTTAAAACCATTTTTTTTGAATGAGAAGAAATTGTTCAAAAGCCAAACTAAGAGCTTGCTTTATTCTGGACCAACGCCTGCACTTCCACTGGTGGAGAGCTAAAGATTCTAATATCACCCGCTAAAGACGAAGCAGCCTTTACCATCTTGTCTGCAACCCGGTTTCCTTCCTTATATTAAAGTAAAATAGTCTAATCGTGTATCCTAATTATATTCATTCCATTTATTTATTAAGTCTTCCACCATCTAAGGTCATCTTCAGCCCTTATCTTTGTTCTACAGTCTCTCTATCTCTACTCTAAAGATGAAACTGTAATTCATCTCTAATGCTATCTCTACATTACCACCAACTCTACTTTATTCACAATATTTAACTATTATAATATTAATTTTACAAATATAAAATAAAATATATACATTTCTAAAAAAAATATCAAGATAAAAAGCATAAATAAAATATTCATAAATAACATTATAAAAATACAAATAAATAAGAAAATTATAACTAATAATAATACGAAAAACATAAGTTGCATAATTATTTATTTGTATTCTCCGAATTAGAATATTCATTCCACAAATGCTCAATTAATGCATTTCGTAGAGCAAAATTAGTATGTTTATTCAAAAATTTAAAAAAACTAAAACTAAAAATCATAAAAAAAATGTTTTTTGTAGCGTTGCTACAGTAGCACGCTATATGTAGCGTTGCAAACCCAGAGCTCTTCAAAGTGGAGATAGATATAGCGTAGCATTGGAGCACTCCACAATAGAGATATGCGCCACAGTAGAGCAGCGTTGGGGATGCTCTAAGTGATGTAAATTAAAGTTAATCACATAATCTAGAATTTTAAATAAGAATAATTTTATTTTATAATCTTTCATATTAAATAATTTTTAAATAATTTAAAAGTTATTAGATCAGATACAAAAATAATTTTTTAAATAAAAAACATTATATAAAATCATTCAACTATTATTAAAGGTGATGATGTTTAACTAGTAATACAATATAAAATGAGAATAAAACATGCATCATTTTACTATTTATCAAATTATTAAAAATAAATAATAATAATAAAATATTCATCTACTTGGATTCAATTATCGAGTTAAAGTTGAGTCGAAGTTTAAGTTAGATTGAATATAGATAAATTAAATTCAGGTTACTTTTGGTCGGATTGTTTTTCAATTTGGGTTATGCAAACATTCATTTTCTTCCGAGATTTATGTGTATTTTCCTATTATTTTAATTATATAAATATGTTATTTTGGTTTTTAATATATATATATAGTTTTGAAATATATATATAGTTTTTAAATATCAATATATATTATATATTTTTTTTAAACATATATAGTTTTGAAATATATATTATATATTTTAAAATATATATGGTTTTATTGAAAATACATATTATATATTTCGAATAATATATTATTATTATTTTCTTTTTATTTATTTATTTTTATATTTTAATTTTTAGGTCCATAATCTGACTTAGGTCCAAATAAAGGGTTTGTCCAATTTCCAGTTAAGTCCAAGTATAGTCCAAGTCCAACAGAGGAGAATGCGAAGCAGGCATATCTAGGCCCAAATAAAGAGCCCAAGATTCCTGACCTAGTACGTTAGGGTTTCAATATCAAGCCATGCTCCACATCATCCAAAACGCAAAATTAGGGGCAATGGACGATCTGGATAGATGACCATATTTAGGGTTCTAAAACCCTAAAAGCATAATCACAACGCAACCAATCCTGGACTGTGGGATCTGCAACCAATCCAACGGTCAGGAAGCCCATGATCAAATCCAGAAAATACAAGAAGTCACTGACCGACTGAATGTGGCGCGTGAATGCCACGTGCCGATGAAAGCAAACCTAAACGCATGATTTCAGATTACCAGCCACGATTTTAGGAAAGTTTCCCAAAAAGATGCATTTAACCAAAAACAAAATCGGAAACAGAATCAAAGCGTCAACAAATCGGCACGAAGCAAACCAAAAGCAACATGCAAAATGGCAACAGAGATCGAATCGAAGGAAAATGGGAAAGAATCCCTCCATCGATTCCTATCAATTTCGGGACAAAAGGGAATTGAATCCCTAAATCAAGAAAGGATACTTTTCCTATGCTATAAAAGCACATGCAAAATGAGAACGGGGAAAAGCGGCAATGGAGGTATTCGAGCACTAAAATAGTCCACAAAAAAAAGGCAAAGAAAAGAGTAAGAAGAGGCTCAGCTTTTGGGAAGAAGAACCATCGTCGGAGAAGGCGAGATGTCGAACGCTTTCAGACCTGGATATACGTCATTGGGGGTTTTATACGGCTATTTGGTAGTGGGCTTTGGGTTTAGGGTGAAGAGGGCATCGTTGCAGGTAACTTCAGAGTGCTCTGGCCACTCTAGGTGGTGACCAGAATGGTGACAAAAATGACATAGCACGATGATGAAAACGACAGAGCACAGTGACTCGGGGAATGAGTGATCGAAGAGTGTAGAGAGCATGAGAGAACTTTTTAGGCTTGTTTTGAAAGGGGTTCAAAATGAGGTGAAAACATAATTTGGGGCACTTAAATACGAGGGCTTGTGTGCAAATACAATTTTCATAAATTATGTATACAGTCCTTGAAGCTTTGAAGTGTAACCCGTTTTTGTCACTAGTTGCTATTTAACCTTGGAATTTCAGTTTTCTTTCAATTTAATCCATTTCATTTCATTTATTTTATTTTAATTTCGTTCCCTAACATTTTTTTCTTCTTTTTTTGTAGTGTTATAATTATTGGGATTTTTGGAAGCTCGATTTGCTAACCGGAATGGTTTGCAAAGAGGGGTCGGAACGGTTTTTGAGTTTAAGGAGTAAGGAGATTGAAAGATAGAAAATTGCACAGCGATTTAAAGTGGTTTGACTTTCTAAACCAAAATCTACGTCCACTACCTTAGCTCCTCACAAAGGATTTTCCAACAAATTCACTAATTTGTTCTTTCTTTTGAGGACAAATACAACTCCCTAGTTTTTCCAGGCTAAACTAGAACCTTTCCCTAGCTTTTACATGGGATAAGCTAGAACTTTTCCCCTTTACAAAAGAAAAAAAATAAGTAAACAAGAAAACCTCTCTAAGGTAGGTGTTTACAATATTGAGCTCACAAGAACAAAATATTTACAAGAGAAAGATGAAATAAGAATTAAAAATTCTTCTCTTGTGTTTGATTGCTTGTATAGTTGTTCTCTCTATTCTTCAAGTGTCCTTAGCTTGTATTTATAGCTTGGAATGTGTTTGATGTTGTATATAGCCGTTGGAGATGTTTTGGAGATGTTTGGGGATGATTTTTCTACTCAAAAAGAATGCCCATAACATGGTGCATCGGTGCACTATCATGGTGCATCGATACCCCTTCATTAAATTCAAATAAACTAGCCGTTACTAGCCGTTGCAGCCTTCGTGCATGGATGCACAACAGGATGCATTGATGCACAACCTTGATGCATCGATGCACAGAAGGATGCATCGATGCACTAATTGCATTCGGTGTTTGAGTGCATGGATGCACTGCATGGTGCATCGATGCACTAGTGCAGGTGCATGGATGCACTGCAGGGATGCATGAATGCACTGTAGGGGGTGCATGGATGCATTTTGATACCCTTTAGCATTTTGGCTCAAATCCGAATTTAATGGACTTTGAATTATTTTTGAAACCTTTTGTTGAGTTAATCGATCGATGAAATCGGCCAAGAGGGGGGTGAATTGGCAATAAAAATTTTGGTGGAAGCTTTTGCAGAAAATTGAAAGTAATTGCACAGTGATTTAGAGTGGTTCGACTTTATCAACCAAAGTCTACGTCCACTACCTTAGCTATCCACACTAAGAATTTTCCAACAAATTCACTAATTTGTTCTTTCTTT